TTTTGACAACTGTCAAACAAATGAAGAAGCCGTTCCTACCAATTCATTTCCCAGCCAGTGGCAGCGTGAATGTTTGTGCGAATGCTCGTCTCATTATGTGTCCCCGTGATTGACTGACTCGTCCAGGGTGTAGCCGCTCTCGGGCCAAAGTCAGCTGAACTGGATGAGCGGCGGACTATAGACGATGGATTCATTCTGCTATTGCTTAAAAGGAACGCTAAAAACAAAGCAACGGGCTTTCCTTGTTATTTATGCCTTGATCTGTGCCAACAAAAATGCAAACCAAGAAGACAGACACAAAGGTAAAGAAAGTGGCCACTGCATCCAACCATAATGGTAACTTTCTTTCAAGCTGTGCAAGATCACTGTCGCGGTTGACTCAATTTCTGATCAAGGTCAAAATTGCCGACAAGCATGTGTACGCCGTATGAATAACAACGCCAGGAAGATGCTTGAAATCGGCATTACTCTGGCTTGAAACTGGATCAATTTGAATAATAGTAAAGACTTAGCTCAACCACGGTATGCTTTGGCCTGGTAAGCCCTGATCTGGCTTGCATTTGTGTGTGTGGAGGAGGGGGTGTCGGGGAGGCAGATGGTGACATCTACGTAAGCTATGCGCTTAAAATAGAATCACACCAACATACCCCGACGTATGACTTGAACAAAGACGAGGTACGCAATATAGGGAACAAATAACAACCGCGGTTTTGTCTAATTCCCATTTAAGCGGGGAAGTGGAAGTTCGGATTCTATGTCAGTCGCGTGTCTTTGGAACCCCATCATTAGGTTGCCAAAAGTGGTACGGTACGGATGAGTTATTTAGGGACACTCCACAATTTTAGACAACAGAACCCCCCCCAACAAATTGCATCCTGTATCCAAATAGACTGAATGATACCTTTTGATGTAAACGAGCCTCCAGACTGCGTTAGTGCAGAGCAGCAATTCAGCTCTGCCGTAATGTGTCTGGGCCTTAATGACTGCAAAGCCACAGATGTCCTGTTCGACTGCCCCCCTCCTAGCTTAGCCATCGCCAAACATTATCTCCCTGTCACACCATGACATTGCCAGGCCTTATCTCCTGCAGCCCGCACAGTAAATCGCTGTCGGAACCAGCTGTTTTCTCTCCTTGCACCTCAAAGCCAGGCTGCACTAGACGACGGCACTCCCGCTGGCATCCAAACAGCCACTTGGCACTGGATCACCGTGCCAGTTGAGCCTGTGCAGTTTTTTTTTCCTGGGATTGCGATTTAAATTGGGATTACTGATCTTTTAAAATGCTCAGAATGTGTATTTATTTTTCAGTTGCTGATTTCTTCTGAAATGTGGAGGAAAATCACCCGCCCTTTACGTAAACCTAAGGACATATATGGTACCACAGGGGGTTATTAGAGGCCCTTAATTGGGACTCTTGAGTTTCATTTCTCAAAGCCGAGTCACATGGGATTGAACAGAAGCCAGGACACCTTTTGTTTTACCGACTGCACTCCTCTCATGAGTCTGACATCCCTGTCAGATACCATCCCGGCTCAATATTTTTGATCACTTAAAGCAAAAGTAGTTGCTGCATGTGGGGATTCTGGTCACAAGGAAAAACAACATTCATCATGAAAATGTCCTACTTCCCCAATTAACTTTAAATGTATTACTGCTGAGTGGCTGATGGTGTAGTGGTCCACGACTGACTTGTGTGCATCCGCTCATTGACGGTGTGGATGGCTGTTCGTCTCTTTATGCGCCCTGCAACTGACTGACGCCAGTTCAGGGTCCGGGCCGACTTTCGCCCAATGTCAGCTGGGATCAGATCCCGCACACCCCCGCGACCCTGTTCAGGATATGCGCTCTTGAAAACGGATAGCCGCATTGCTGTCATTACCTCCTTATACCAACGACTTTTGTGTGACTGTCATCGAGCTAGAAATATAAATAGAACTGCACTGGATCATGCTAATATGGCATTTCAGAAATTTCTGAGCCTAAAGTATGATCAGGCCAAGTGGATGTTTGGACTCAACAAAGCCGCGGAAATCGGACTTCCCACAAGAAAGGCGGTGCCCACGAAACCACAAAGAGACTGTAACAGACTACACCAATCGTACGTATTTTTTTTTCTTTTGGTGTCAGCTTGGTAACCAAGTAGTGAGTGTGTCTAAGTCACAACTGTGAGGTCTGGGGTTTGAATCTCTGCTCGAGCATTTCGGGTGGAATTTACATGTTGCTCTTTTTGCTTGCATGAGTTTTCTCAAGGTACTTCCACCCATGCTACTTTCTTCACACGCTTCTGTGGCGTCAACGCTTTCTAAAGATAACGTCCCCTCTGCAACCCAGCCTCTCCTACCCCCGTTCCGGAACCACCTCTCTCTCCACCAGTCTGCTTTTAGGCCTGCAACGACCCCGCTGCTGTTCGACAGCTAAAATTATCTTTTGAAACGGGAGGTTGTGACCGGCACTCTCATGCGAATGCAGACCACAGGATTATTTTTGGGGAAACAGGTTTTACAATAGGCACTGCGAGACAAAGAACCTGGGCCTGTCATACTTTTGAAAGTCTTTTCAATCTGACATTTCACCTGAATCCAAGCAAATACTCATTTTTTCAAATTAAAAAAAAACACAAAAAACAACAACAAAAAAACTGTGATCCCAGTGAGATTAAAAAAAAAAAAATCTTAACGGAATTGATCCTTTCATGAGTAACAAGCATTAAAACTGACACACCGTAGATTGATTCTGCAAGCAATGCCGGTCTTTGATTGTGACAGACTTTTTATTGAGCGGATAAAATGCTGACCACTACTCAAGCGATTTGAAGGTCAAGACCTCGGAAGGATTAGAGAGCGTTAAAGGAGTAGATGAGTGGACAACTGAGCCAGAGGGTGCGCTAACTGTTCTGCAGGACTCTAAAGTGACCAGACCACATTACGCTGCTTCTAAGTCTGTTGACTGCGGCAGATTTAGGAAACTGCTACTGTACTCTGCAGCTTTGACTCCAGCTGGCCAAAACCTGTCCCGCTAAAACCGAGATGGGAGCCAGAAATCCTCATCAAGCGTTGTTGTTGTTGTTGTTGCGGACAGGTCGCTGATGACGATGACTGGAGACATTTCTAGGAAGCGCTTGTTTGCCATGTTGAAAGACTCCAAGCACAATGTTGCTTTTCCAAAAGCCGAGATGTGCAATGTGTAATCCCCCATAAGGACATGTGCGCTCTCGCGGTGAAAGAAAGGGATTTAGTCAACAACGCCAATCCCTACACTCAATCAACTCCATCAGAGGGGCTGTCATATAAACGTGGCCCGTTCACTGGAGCTTTAGTTGGCTGTTGTTTGGACAACAGGCTACAGGTTCCTTAGCCATTGTCATTTTGAAGTCAGCCAAATCTACATTTGTGGTTTGGGAGTTGGAAAAAAAATGGTATTCAGCCCCCCAAAAATTGAAGAAAGATATGGCACAAAAGTAGAAAAATCCACATCTGTCAGCAAAAAAATAAAATAAATAAAAGAAAGGGCCAATACACAAAACGGGGCTGCTGTATAAGCTTATCTTCAAAGTCAGGTGATCAGATCAAATTCTCTGCTCGGGAAGCAACTCAGGCCAACAATCATGAATATTAATCACTTTCGTTCCTCACGATAGCAAAAGACAACTAAATGAATTGCTAACTAAAAGATTCCGCCCTTTCAATGAATGTAATTGTTGAAGGTGATCTTTCGGTCTCCCTTAAAGCGTCTGACCTACTCTCATTTTGCCATTCATATTTAGCGCCGCTATCACTGGCAGGGGGACTGTATTGACGCTGGCGGCGGACGGGTTATGAAGGGCAGCAGTGCGAGGGAAAGACTCAAAGCATCGATAGAGATTAAATTAATGCCTTTGGAAAGAGGGCAGGAAATGGCAACTAAATACTCTCGTGAGAATCCGCGCAAAAGAGATTGAGCTGCTCTACCGTAATAAGATATTTAAATCGCCCATGTGTTGATGGAGATTTCCGTGAGACAGCTGAAATACACCTTGTTTACTTTATGTGATTTGACTACTGAGAATTTCCTTCGGTGAGTGAGAAAATTAAAACCCATGAAGGGAAATATGAATACTCTAATTGCAGTGGAAGGCCGTTGCTGCTGTGAGGCTGTGTGTGTGTGTGAGTGTGTGTGTGTGTGTGTGTGTGTGTGTGTGTGTGTGTGTGTGTGTGTGTGTGAGCAAGGGTGGCAATTGGGTATGAGTCTTGCATGTTAACAAGTCATCAACTTTGGGACGTCATCATGCTAACGTTTGCTAATTTTCCGTAAGTGTCTACGGCTGATTCACACACATTTGTTTGGAAATAAAAACCAAAACAGAAATGTCGACTGTAAACACTGTTTACCCTGGCACCACTTTGAAAAATAAGAACACCAAGTTGGACCGTTCGTCGAGCATCAGAGAAACCAATGGACACTTGACGAGGGACAAATGGACAGGAGCCGGATTCCAAAATGATCCCCACGTTGTTGAAATGATCACTTTCCTCCTTGGAAAGCGATCATTTCATCAGACACATTATCTTCTCCAATTCTACCATTTTCCAGTTTAGTCACAGCAGTGTGTGCCGCCGCCATGCTTCTTTCCTCTCTAAAATCATGCCTAAAACTGCCAAGAGACATGGGATTTTCCAACAGCGGACAACCCAGACTCGAAACTACAGCACACCAAGATGGAAGTGACAGCGAAACATCCACAGCCTATCATCATCATCATCATCATCATTGTGTCTCTATCCCTGTATGAGCTTAAATCACAGTGATGCTTATACCATATGACCCTAAGTGTATTGAGAGCTTTAAAATGCCAGTGGTTCCTCACAGTAGGAGGTCTATCATCCCAGGGCGAAAAAAAAAAAAATATATACGGATGTTCAATATACGCCGCACATTGGATTGCCCGTGGGGTCCGACCATACGGGTTGGGCATGCGATTTCAAGTGAAGAAATCCGATCAATGTGTGTTGCACGGTGCTCACCAATGCAGGCATGCACGCGGACTGTCAGCTGGGTTCGTAAAACGACGCTGTGCTTTTTCCCTCTGGACCTGTGGGGGGGGACAAAAACACACATGTAAATCCGTTGTCGGTTCATTCCAACGGCATTCAAGGTTTGCGTTGGTTTGTGCTGCTGCTGCTCGCCATTGCAGAATTATGGCGAAAACGTTCAACCCTGGTTTCATCCGAGCAGAACACATTCACACATTTTTTTGAATTGTTTGTATTTTTAATCAGCGAAAGATGTTTTTTGAACATGGGGTGTGTGGACTTTTTTATCAACACTATAACTTCATTTTCGGTACGATTAAACTGTGGCACGAAGAACAAAATTCTGGATCTGAATGATCCTGCACTGAAGCCATCACTTCACTTACTGATTTCACATGTGGCTTTTCGTGATGTGTTTTTGTTGTGGAGATTCGATTTGTTTTTGTTTCCCGTCGTGCTTGTTTTGCTGTGGCCCGGTCGTTAGGTTTTCATTGTCACCTGTTTTGAGCGGCAGATTTCACATGTGACTTTTCGTGATGTGTTTTTGTTGTGGAGATTCAATTTGTTTTTGTTTCCTGTCGTGCTTGTTTTGCTGTGGCCCGTCGTTAGGTTTTCATTTTCACCTGTTTTGAGCGGCTCCCTGACTTGCGTCTATCAATCAGCTGCCTGCGCCCACTCACGTCTCGTCCAGGTGTGCCTCGTCACTGCTTGTATTTAACGACCTGCTTTCCTTCAATATCCGTCTGTGCCTGTTCAATGATATTGTAGCAAGTTGTGTTCTCCGTGCTCTGCCACATATTTTTTGTTGTAGTGAATGTCCTGTTTCCTGATGTTTCTTTGTCGCTTTGATTTTTAATTCATGGATGGATGGTTGTGGACGATGTTAATTTTTAGATTTTCCCCGTTGTCTTGTCTGCCTTTTTATTTTTGGAAATAAATTCTTTGTTTTTGTAAATTCATTTTGCCCTGCCCCCCTGCTAACCAGCTTTTGTGACCTGGGTAATATTTTAGCATGAGTGGAGTTGCAAATGCTTTGAGTGTTTCTTGTTGTTGTTTTTTTTAAATTTGTTGTGTCTAAAGATGCCACAAAATCCTGGATATTTTACCGCTGGATTTCGTCATCTAGTGTGACAAAAAAATGATTTCTGCCCTTTGGTTGATAGCCATCTGAGACGAGAGGATGACACCTCATGACTGCAGACACAACACTCTTCACATGCTAACATACACACATAGTCACATCTTGTCGGAAAAACAAAATGAGTACAATACGGGAAGGTATGATGGTATTTTGCGCAAACAAATCAAACTCTCTCCTCTAATCCCGGCTGTTATCATCCGACCGGGTGCTAATCTTTGACTCCCATCACGTCCACGCCGTTGGAATTCCCGGGCAAGCGGGGAAATCGTTGATGTGATAATGCCGAGCTCAGAAAACCCCCCTTGTTTACGCATAAGGCGTTGTGAGAAAAACACACACCTAAACACACGCGACAACTTATGTTGGATTCGTTTTGTTGAGACCTACACTTGGTTGGTGATGGAAAAACAAAAAGATAATGTTTTGTGACAGAAGCCCGGGCGAAGACACATCGCTTCTCATACGACACGGATTATTTTGACACTTCTACTGGCTTATGTTCTTTTCCGCCGTGCAGCATTTCAGCAGGGATGTTGTGCCCATCTCCTTTTCCTTTGTTTACTATCAACTCACTTGCGTCAGGACGCTGCCGGTAACACTGACAAACTCTGCCTGGTTTCTGTTTTGCTTGTGTGGATTAAATGATCGGGATTAGGCAAAAACTACTTAACTGATTAAAAGAAAACCTTGTGGGAGAGCGGGGACATTTTATTTTTCTGCACCTTCTTAGCTCCTTTTGTATCGCGATGACCTCCTTGTGTGATCTATTGGTGTTTAAAAGAAGTGAATGAGAATTTTTTTCTTTTCTTCTTTTTCTTTTTTTTTTTATCTTTTTCGAACTGGAGAGGCGACTTTCGAGAGAGCCATCCCCAAACCTGTCAGATGTTTTTCGAGTTAAACCCAACCCCGTTGCATGACTCATTGCCTTCTGTCAATTCACTGTGACCTTTGTTAAAAAGAAAAGAAATCCGCATTGATTGAACGATACGTGCTTGCCATCCAACCAGTTGCTCCAGATCGCGGCCACTTAAAAAAAAAAAAAAAAAGGGTCACGCCTTGATTCACCTGTCTATTATCTAGAAGCATGGCTGACAAAGCTGACACATGAGACGAACACACAAGCACACATAGGCACAGGTTTTGTGATTTCGTCTTTGCTTTGTGCGCTGCCGCCGGCATCTCAACACATCTGCATACCACAAACCGCTGCAAACACATAAATGGTGACATCTCGCCACATTTTTACCTTCCATTAGTGATGCAATGCTGTGAGGTAGACTTGCAAAACACTTGGTCATTGTTTTTCACTGTTGTGTTATGTTGCTCTCTCCTGGGTGTGCGCGTGTGTATGTGTGTGTTTGTGTGTGCAAAACACCAAAGCTTTTTGGGACAGTCACCAAGAGACGGAAAAACTTCCAAAACTGTGATTCTCAGTTTTGCTTTTCAATGTGTTTTGTTGAGGCTCAAAATGCAGATTTGGACCGGTAAACTGCCATGCAGAACTGCTTATTTTGAGCCTTGGGCTTATATGGAAGCACGGTATTCGCCAAATCGTGTAACATCTCACCACTGTTGATGAATTTATCCACTAGTGTAGTTTATCGAGGTGAAAAAAAGCAATCGTTGAGGTCAATTTGCCCTTCAGGGCAGTGATAGCGCCGTTAGCACAGGCAGCTAACAGGTGCTTTATTAAGTTGAAAAATGCACAGTTGGTGCAAGTTGAGTTGGAGGGAAAGAAGGAGGGCAAGTTGAATATGTCTTTCCACAGTGCTTCATTCTTTCCATGAACTTCTGCTCCCGAGGAATCCATATCAAGCTGCTTATGATTAATTCCTGTTGCATTAGAATGGAGCGAGTTTGTGTGTGTGTGTGTGTGTGTTTAAGTGAGTGAGGTTAAAAGGATTTATTCCGAGAGTAGGTGGCAAATGATTATTGATGATATGAAGAGACCGTCTCACCCTGCGTCATCCTGCTGGAATCCTTCCAGCTCGTCCCTTTGCTCCGCCAAGGAGGACTCCAGGTCCAGATAGGTGCCATTGTGGGAGAGCTGCAGCGCGCAGTCGTCGAGCTATGGAAAATGATAATACGGGGTTTGAAGAGCGTAGGTGGCTTCAGGAAACGAAGTGTGACGTTCAAATTCAATTTGTGAATGAGACAATGCGGCGAACAGTTCGGGTCAGGGTCTTGGATGATTCTCCCCAAATTACCCCGTGCGAGTGCGCTCCGCGCCACAGCAGAGAGAATGCTTTCATGTCGGACCACAATAACTGCTCTCCACTACATTGTTGCGTGTTTTTCAAAGAGGTTTTCGGATGGGGTTCGAACAGCGGGAGGGGCCTGTTTTCATGTGGCTCCGTTTTCATGTACGAGGGAATGAACTTGTTGGGGGTACAAACTACAGGCAGTAGACCATAAAACTCAAACCAGAAATGAACAAAGGGGGATGGTCTATGTTGAATTCGATGTGTGCGGTGTTGCTAATGTAAAGGCGTCTCCAGTGTCAACGTGTGTACGGAAATTGGTGCCCCGCTGCAAAAATCCAATGAATGCAGCTGTGACATCTGCTATTACTTGATCCGAGGTTCCACTGCAGTACTTTGTGCGTCAGAGTCGCTCCATGACATTGTGTAACTGGAAACCCCGCCGTGTTTGAGGCCAGGTGCGCAAGAACGTATCTGTACGTGTCTTGCATTGATGTTCATGACAAGTTGACGGCAGGTGCTAAGTGTACCCCGGTGACGACGCATATGTCATCTCCTATACTTATTTCATTTCACATCATTTCAAGCGGGAGTAACGTCGATGTAAATGTTAAAAATCCGCGACAAAATGTCTTCCGTTTTTCAATGAACTCAACTAGCGGTTGCCTCGACTTGCCGATGAATGAGATCAGAGTCAAAAGTGTTGAATTAGCATTTAGCACCTGTGCGCTATCAGTACGGTATTGCTTTGACCTGGAATGGTCCCAAAGCGCGATGCCAAGCGCACCACCCCCGACCGCGCAGCCGAGGAGCATGACGACACACTGGGACCGGCAGGCGCTGATCACAAGACCACTCTGGGGCACCCTCTTGTCTTTTCCCTCCCTCGCACTCGGAAAGAGAGACGGCCCGTCGGTCGGCCTCGCGGCATAAATATAACCCGGCTATATTTACTCGAGGTTGCGTCCACTCAGGAGCTCAAGGGTAGGTGTGTCCGTGAAGCCTGGGAGTTGAGCGGAGGGGGGCACCGAGGCCAGTTCTATCTGGAGATTGTCACATTTAGCAAGCGTAGATTACTCCCGAACTGAGAGCGGGCCACGAGCAAAAGGCGCCGTCTTTGGGCCTTGTTCTAGTTCCTCTCTCATTTTAATCTGAGCCAAATCCTAATCCAACAACAGGGGAAAGGCAAAACATGGGACAGTAAATAATCAGACACAACCCCGATTAAAAACGCAGTCGGTCAAGCAGATTAAAATGCATGCGGCGATTCCGTGTTTGACGCCATCGTTTTCAAACCAAAGCCAATTTGATTCTTCACGGTGTGTGTACTTGATGCTCGGTCAGAATCCAAATCTTGAGCAATCTGCGCATAAGTGACATAAGAACGATTGTTTGCACCGCCTGCATTGAAACGAAACTGCATAACTTTGTGCTGTTATTGTTCGTGCCCTGTGAGGTGTGCTAAAATGGAGGATTGTTTGACCAAGCCAGGGAAAGGGAGGTGGGGGGGGGCGAGGGTGAGAACAGAGGGAGTGTTAATCACGTCCTGCCCCACTGCCCCAATTTGAAGTTGAAATAAGACAAAAGCGTTTCTTGTGCCCAATCTGTCCACATTATTCAGCACGTTTAGCGCCGCTGTCATTCCACAAATACCTCGCAGACACTTTTCGTCCTCGAAATCAAGTCCAGCGGAGCTTTCTTATTCTCACTCGCGGAGCCCCATCAACTGCGATTCTTTCGTTGCGCTCTCCTCATCTTGCACACCCGCAATCACATATACTGCTTGGCCGAGTGAAACTCATAACTGAACCCCATCTAAGGTCTCACGTTCTGAAAACTCACCGGTGGGTGGACTGGATGCAGTTCCAGTAGCAACTGGAAGGTCCCAGGCCGTGCCCAGAAACACTTGGGAGCGAGTATTATTTACACTCATTTAATCAAACTCTCCCAAAGTGGAGAAAAAGCCGGGAGAAAAAGACGAGTAATTATTTCCATGTTAGAATAACACAAAGCGTGCTTGTGTTGCACTGGAAACGACCTCCTTATGTAACTTGGGGGATGACTCTTTAAGATCTTTCACATCACTGCCATGAAATGGTGCTTCAATGTGCGGTTGTGAAGTCTCATTCAAAAGGTGTAGCCGACCATTATTTCTATGCTCTCTCCTGAATTTTTGAAACGAGTGTGCACATTTGCAACCATGTGACTTGTTTGTATCTATGCTCTCTCCTGAATTTTTTTAAACTATTTTTAAAATCATTTCAACATTGAATACAAGATGACCTAATACTTAACTACTGAGCATGATATTCACTGCAAGGCTACCAGTAGAGTTTGAATGACTTATGGTCTAAAATCCAATTTAAATGCCTAATACGGTACACAGAAAAAGTATACCCACCACCTGAGGCCTTAAACAAGGTGGAGGGAATTATAAAATGGTTGAAAATCACAGTCAGTGTTAGTAGAAAATGGTCAGCATTTTGCTGGAAAGCAAAAAGAAAGTCTTAGAAAGTCGAGTAGAACATCTGAACTTCATTTGGGTTTAATCAGAGGCACCATAGAAAACTTGTTTGTATCCCAATTTGAATCGAGTGTGCACATTTGCAACCATGTGACTTGTTTGTTATACTTGCCCTCTCGAGAAGATTTTAAAATTGAGTTATACCGTCCAAAGGGCACATTAACGATGGAAATGTTTTGAAAGTATTGATCTTGACCTGTTTTTTTTTTTTATATCACAAAACAATGACATTTGAAGAGGGGTGTGTAGACTTTCTTATATCCTCTTGACACCAATGTAGGCTGCAAACTGACATCGCCAACTACTTTCAATTTGTTTTTGCGATTTATTTTTTTTTTGGTTGTTTTTTTGTGATTGTTGAATTGTTTCGACATCACGTAAGAAAAAAGTTTTGATCTTGACCTGTTTTTTTTTTTTTTATATCACAAAACAATCACATTTGAACAGGGGTGTGTAGACTTTCTTATATCCTCTTGACACCAATGTAGGCTACAAAGTGACATCGCCAACTACTGGCCGGGCATTTTAAATTTGTTTTTGCGATTTTTTTTTTTTGGTTGTTTTTTTGTGATTGTTGAATTGTTTCGACATCACGTAAGAAAAAAAACGTGACGTGTCGACGTACCACCCTTATTCCATGCCAGCCAGTCCTCGCGTGCGCTTAAGCGCGCTCGAGTGTGTGAAGTGGCGCATGGTCAGAGAGGTGGAAAGAGATGGGGGCGGGGGTCGGGAAAACCATGTCACCCAAAGTGAGAAGAACAAAGTGTTGCAGGCATCCGGGCCCGGGCCGCAGGAATTCTGGGACGAGTGACCTATACTTTATGTGCAACCCAGCTGACCATGCGCATCGTCACAACATAATAACACAGGAGGCTTTTCTGAGAGAAAGGGCGCGGGAGGTTATTTTGCATTGACAAAGCGACACGATCAAATATCAATAAAAAATTTAAAAAAAAAAGAAATAAAATCAACATTCATTAAGTGCTAAACCCACTGGCGACTGTTTCATTTTTTCAATAACTTAATCCCAATAAAGACTCTTAAGCTTGAGCTTTGCAATCTGACGGGGAAAAAGTGCAACTTTTCAGTTTCATCCCTATAATCTAAAGGCGGTATCCAGTTGCCATCGCGCACAAAATTGCAAACACGAACACAAGCCGTTGCCATCTGTCCATGTAAAGGTTGTAATCATAAGCTTTTCTGCGCTGTGGGCCATTTTTCATTTGTTTTGCGGCTTTTAAATACGGGGGGAGCTCAAGATCGACTGGTCTGGAAAACCACTTTGCTGTCGAAAGTCGGTTTGCCATCAGAGTTGTGTGCAGGCACTTTGACTCTCTTCGCGGCTCACTTTTTTTTTTTTAAATATACACCTTCAACTTTTTGTCTTACAGTAAAAACAATGTCACATATCTGGTCATAGCCGAGTGTATGAGTGCCTGGAAGGAATGCGGTGCTGTTTTGGGAGTTTTCCCTCGGGCTCCTTTTGGACCTTGAACTTGGCATCTTTGCTTTTTCACATGCCCATCATAAATTGACAGTGACCGCTATACACCAGTGTGTCAGGCTATTTGTTGGGCTCATGTCTTGTCGACTTGAAATGAGGCAGCTGGGGGATCTGAAGTGGTTGCACTCATAACGACCGCCCTAGCACCTGTCAACAGCGACTTACAGATCTTTACATATGCATCGGCTCATTTCCAGACAAACGCCTGAAAATGACAAAACACGAGTGTAAATATTTCGTCTTCATTTTGCCGCTGTTTTTGCCCGCATTGAGGAAAGACAAAATGCTGGTCTTAATGTCAGCGAAAACATTGGCAGTGTTCTGAAAGGGGACAGTGACAAGAGAATGACGGGGTGGACAGCAATTTCACGCACACATGCAAAACGTTCAAAAATGATCTGGAAAACAAAATATACACAATCAAAATGATCCTTCACAAATATATATGGATATATTTGCGGGCAATAAAATAATGCACATTTGCACGATCATTGAAATAATGTATACATACAGTATAAATTGTGAATACTTTTATAAAATAAAATTATGTCCTACCTTGTGCGGAGCCTTGAGGAGCCGGTGGATGCCTGCGAGTTGGTTGATGAGCGGGATGTCCTCCCTGAAGGTGTACAGCGGCGGCCGGGTCGGTTCCGGGAAGTTGGTGCTGTTGAACGGATCTGTGTCGTCTAAAAATTGAACCCTGCACGCAAACGTGGCCATGGTGCATCCATGCAAATGGCAGCCAGGTTTGCCGGGGCCGCTGAGAGCTGCTCAATTTGCTGGTAACTAACCCAAACAAACAAGCGTCGTCAAGTGGGTAACCGGGACCGAGACGGGGGG